CAAATACATCGATTTTTTCCTTAACAGGCAAGAATCAGAAAAGTTTTACAAGAAAATCATTATTTTACCCAAAGAAGTCATCAAAATTGCTTAACAAAATTAGAAAAAGCATACAAATATGATATTTGAACTAATTTCTAAATAAGTTCAACTGCCAGCTGCTGATTGGCATCTAACGATTTTATGTAGCGCCATCTAGCTTTGATATTTTTACTTCTGGTTGATTTTTTTTCTCTCAGAGCGAATTTCCCATTTCTTTCTTTTCTCAGTTTTACAGCTAAAAACTAATGAAATAAAGAAAAAATACAATAGTTCTGAAATCCCATTTTTTAAATAATAAAAAATTCAAGTGTAGGTGGCGTTCGTATCTAAAGTACAACACAAATGACATTTTCCCGGTTTATGTAGCACCTTGACTTTAAATATGTATGTCTTCGTGCTTCATCTAAGCCTTTTCACATAAAATTATGCAAAAAATATATTTTTGGCCAAAAAGTATTCAGGTATATTTACCATATATATAGCCTTTAGATATGGTGTTGCTGTATACCAGTTTCTTGTTCTCGTAATTTCTGGTCAAATTTGTTCTAACTGTCCGAATTTTCCATTTCTTTCTTTTGCCAGTTTTACGATTAAAAAATTAAAGAAAAGTGAAATGGTTTTCGAATAAAATCTTTTGAAATAATTACAAAGCTCAGGTACAGGGTCAGATAAGAAAAAACTGCAACAAAGTCAAACAAGCAAAAATTTTCGGAAATAGCATCAAATTTTAGAATAACTTTAGATTTTTTCGAATTGGTCGCCTTTGGCAGCGAAGCGCTTGCTTGAGGTGATCGACACTTTGGTATTTTTTAGTTCCAACCTCGCATTCCAGGTTGGCACTCCAGACACAACACCAACCCGTTGGCATTGGTATCTGGAGATTTTGGTGACAATTGTGCGCTGGAAATGAATCGAGGAACCTAATTTTGAAACCATTCTTGTGTGGCGCGTGCTGAGTGCGATGGTCCTCAGTCATGTTGGAATGTTCAAGGTCTGCGGCCAAAATGTTTGCGTGGCCAAGGCTTTAATACACCCTCCAGAATATTTTCGCAATAATATTTGGCATTTTTTCTGACCATTGCCTGTTATGGCGGCCCACACCATCACCATGACCGGCGCTTGAGTTCTTGTGGACAACCGAAGGTGCACATTTTCAGCTGACCTCTTTGGCAAGTAAACACGATCAATTTGTTTTTTTACAAACTGCTGGACAACGAATGTTTTCTCATCGGAGAAAACCAAATTCGGCAGTTCACCATTTTCCGCCAAGCGAAGCAACTTTTTAGCTCTTTTGACTCTATTTTCTTTCTGTTGCGGTGTAAGTTCTTGCACTTTTTAGAATTTCAATGGCTTTAGTTTTCAGTCTTATCTCTTTGGCATTTTCTAGTATTTATTAGTTATTGCCATTAAAAGTAGGAAAAATACCTCAAATGCAATATGATCAAATTGAAGGATAGATGTCGCTCCCCAAAGTAATAAATTTGATCCAGAAAATGTTAAAAAGGCCAGATTTAGCCATTTGAAGTTGGAAGTTGTGTTCGGTCAAACAATTATCATTGAGTTTTTCGTATTTGTAGGCTTGGCCTTTGGCCTATCGTTCTATTTATTCAGATTTCCATTATTTAGCTAAAAATATTTGGTCTTTAGTCCGTTATCGACTAGAAATGCTCATTTCAGCCAATCGAAATAATAATGTTTCCAGACTTTAAAATGCCTACAAGTATACTTTCCAATTTACATTTTTTAAAACAACTCGTATAACCGAAATCAAGATTACGGTAAAATATGTGAGCATATATCAACCTCTACATTTATGAACAAATCGTGGAATGATAATTGGACCACAAATGGTAAATTAAAAAGAGTAATCAAAAAACTTGAAATACTATTCCTTAACTGTTTTTCTAAGAGTTGGGTTGCAGTAGATAGATAATATATGGAGTGAAAGTATAGATGAACATACACATGTAAGTCGTTTATTAATCGTATTAGTTGTATTGCGCTTTGACTTCACTTTCGATTCGTTATATAGCCTTTTTCTATTTGCAAAAAAAAATTTGTATTTTAGTCCATTCCTGGTAATAAATACACATTTCAGTCGGTCAACTTTTTAAACGCTTAAATTATATATTTCAAAATTACTCGTACAACCCGAAATCAAGATGGCGGTCAGGTATGAGTGCTTATTTCAAATTATGCGCTTTCAAAAAAGTCGTGAAATGAGAGATAGTCATTTGACCATAAAGGGTTAATTGAAGAGATTTTGTAAAAAAAACTCTATATAGTATTTGTTAAATAGTCTATTAATAGATAGCATGCAAATATAGATGGCGCTATGAAAGTATACATTTAGGTCCCTAGTTTTCGTATTAGTAGACTTGCGCTAATTTACCATTTTTTATTTGATGAAAGTATTTGAATTTTAATCCATTCTCTGTAATAAGTCTTTCAGTCAGTCGAGTTCTAATCTTTGTTTTGATATTTCCAGAATTTTTTTAGGCGCCTAAAGGTATAATCTGTAATTTATATATTTCTTACCTTGTTGTGCATTCTCCATCAAGATGGCGCTCAAATATGTGTGCTTATATTAAACTCAATATTTATGAACAAATCGCGGAATGAAGGATAGACTCCCAAAATATTTGTGGTTCGATATTGAAAAGAGGTGCTGTTCACTTCCTGCTTCAATTTTGAAGTATTTTTTAACAGTGGAAACATCTACACATACACGATTCGCTATCCTTCAATAGATGTCGTTAAGAGACTTATTATTTTAGTATAGTTAGATAAGATATAAATATAGATGGCGCTATGAACGTATACATTTAGGTCGTTTATGGCTCATATTAGTAGGTTTGCGTATTGACCTTACGTGCGAAGCACTCAGACCTTGATTATTTAGCATTTTTCTATTTGCCAAAAATATTTGGCACATTTCAATCAAATTTTTAAATGTCCTAGAATTATACTTTCTAATTTATACATTGTTAAAACTACTCGTATACTCGACATCAATGTGGCGGTCAAGTATGAGTGCATATTTTAAATTATATGTTTCCGAATAAGTCTTGAAACGATGTTTATTCTTCCAAAACATTTGGCCATGAAGGGTTAATTGAAGAGAGTACACAAACAATGTGAAATATTAATTTCTAAAATGTCCATGAATGAGTTGAGTTGCAGTAGTCAGAATTCAAATATAGATGGTGTTATGAGCATATATAATTTCGGTCGCTATCTTTCAATAAATGTCGTTAAGAGACTTATTAATTTTGTATGGTTAATGTTGACCTTGCATCAAAGAATTTTCTTTTGATTTGTTTGGCTTGAGGCCTGGGCTTAAAAAACCGACAATTTTTTCATATTTCAATTTTTTCCGAAATTCCGAAAAAGACAACATTAGGTAGTTAATTGAACTTTTTCTTCTTAGTTTTAAATTCTATAATACAGCTTCGCCATCCTCCTCCCAACTGAAAATTGGAACGGCATTTGAATAATAATCAGTCTTCTGATAACCAGGACTTACCGAAACAGGCTTATTACAGCGTAGATTGTTGGGAAAAGGGACCTACAAAAACGATTCTAAAATTTCAAATTTGTAATTTTTCTCAATTTTTTTTTACTTAAATTTTGTAAAGTGTTGAATAAAAATTATTTTTAAACCATTTTGCAACCACAAAATACTACGGTATCCCGAACAAACAAGCCACATTGTTCTATTTTTAAAAAATGTTATATTGTATATTGACCTGTCTTATAATATAACAAACAAATTGTATAAATTCCTTATAAAAATTTGTATTTATTTATTATTATTTTTATACTCGTTTTTTTATGTTAATATTATGTTACGTTTAACAAAAAACGGTTTCTAATAAATAATTGTCTATAACTATGTTTTCTTGACATATAATTGTGCGAAATAATAATAATATTGTAAAAACAAAAAATCTCAAATTCAATGTTGTCTGTACTCTATATCTCGCTCTCTATATCTCTCTCTGTCTAACTCTCTCTATATATATTTAACCGCTGTCTCTTTTTCGTCTTTACTTTTTTTTCTGTTTCTTTCTATGGTTTCTTAAGTTTCTATTTTATATTGATTTCAATTTGGCATGTGTTTTTTATGATTTTCAAAATTTAATTTTAATTCAAAATTGATTTGGAATTTCCTTTTTTTTTTTGACTTTGTATTGGAAAAAATTTAGAAAATGAAAGAAATCCAAAAAAATACAAGAAAAAAATTTAAGCCCTCTAATATCACCATATTTCGTGGTAAAACTCGCCATTTCCGGACAGAAGAAATATCTAACGGAATTTCTCAGATAAATTTTTTTTTTAATATATTTTTTTGCCTCTATAACTACTCTATTCTCTGTCTCTCTCCCTCGTTTGCATACAATGACATTGAAATGGAAGAATACAACACAGCCTATTAAAAGAAAACCAGCGCCTCAATAAAATGTTTTAGAATAAGTCACCAAAGAAAAACAAAACGCCTAGATTAAAAAATACATATTTCTGCTTGGGAAATTTTGCAAAAAAAAATAGGGTTTCAGTTCCATTTTAACATTACATAAATGAAAAATAATAATGTATTTATTAAATCTTTTTTTAATATTTTAGGTAATTGAGAGAAAAATAAAAACACACTAATTTTATAACAAAAAAACTAAACACATCATTTCCACTAACACTTAACAAATAATTAATGAAAAAAAAAAAATTGAAATAAAAATTGTAAAACCTTTGGCCTTTTTTGGAAATCACTCCCATTATCCTTTCAATTCCTTGTTGATCCTTTGCAAAAAAAAAGCAAAAAAACCCTCAATCATTTCTTTTCTTTCCATAATTAATACAATAACAACAACAACTAATAATAATTACAATAACAATACCTCTAAAAAACAGTAACGCTATTTTTTAAACTACAACAACAACAATTTGAAATTTTCTAGGCGTTGTACTCTTCTCATCGGCGGTTTATTTTGCGGAAGCTGGAAGCGAAAATTCCTTCTTCAAGTCCATACCCGATGCATTTTGGTGGGCTGTTGTCACCATGACAACCGTTGGATATGGTGACATGACGTATGCAAAAACTTTAATACTTTAATTTCTGTTCTACCTCTTGTTTCCGTTTTTTTTTTTTTTAATTTTTACTCTGTCTTTCTTTTTAAAAAAATAACAAAAAACTAATTTTTTTTAATTTTTTTTTTTTGTGTTTTGCTTGTGTTAAAAATTTGTTTAAAATTAATTTTTATTTTAAATTTTTTTTTGTGTTACTTTGTTTCCTGTTTAACACCCTCCTGTTTTGAATATTTTGTGATATATAAAAAATTATGTGTTTTGTCTCTTATAAAAAAAAAACGAAAAAAATCATTATATTTTTCATATAATTTGCACATGTTCAAAATCAAAATCTTTTTTCAAAACAACTCCCCCGCCCCCTCTATATATTGATTTGCCCAAAAAAAAAAAACAAATCAAGCGACATTTGTGCTCATCTCATCACAAGCATCAATCATTAAAATTCCAAACAAAAAATTATGTAAATCATTTTCCAAAAAAATCACAGATTTTCAAACGTAACTGTACATAAAAAAAAACTTTTCAATTTTTTTCTATAAACCCGGCACCGCCCAAGCAAAAAAATGGAGGCAAAATAAGAACCTCCTCAACCAAAAACTGCACCATTTTTTTTTTAATTTTTTTCGTTGGCGAGCATAATTTATTTTTATTTTTCAATTTATATAAATTTATTTTTTCTATTTTTTTTTCAAAACTTTTTCTATTCTTTTTTCCAATTCATTTAACTAACTTTCCTGCTTTCTTCTCATGCATTATGAAAAAATATATCTCTGAGCTTGTTGCATGTTTTTTGCATATTTTCTCAAAACAATTTCTTCATCAACTTCATCTGTGACTCAACTATTTTCCAAAAAAAAAAAAAAAATCGGTTTCTCTTTCAAAAAACAAAAAAAAAAGCTTTACTTTATTTTATTTTTATTTTCATCTGTTTTTGCATGGCCTCTCTACTCTGGCTTTCACAAGCTTTCGAACAAAAAAAAAAAAACAAAATATTGTAAATTCTAACAAAGAAAAAAAATAACAACAAACACAATAAACTAACTCTACTAATTGGTTTTCAACATTCGATCATGTCATGTATCACCACCACAACCACCACCACCATTATTGTCATCGTCATCATTTGCATTTTCCTCCAACTGCAACATCAAACCACTTTTTATTCTCAATTCTCTCACTCAAAATCAAATCAAATAAGTCCATCCATCTTCTTGAACTTTTCCGTCTATCAATGTGTAAATTCAGTTAGGGTTCTCCGTTGTAGGATACAACAATACAAAAATGACCCGCCCCAAACATCAGCCAACAAAGGAAGAGAGAGAAATTCTGAATCATTTATTTAATGCTTGGGAGAAAATAATTTAAGATAGGGAAAACATTGAAAAAAAAATCACTCAATTTTTTGATTTACTCAAATTGGAGAGAGGAAGTGCTACAAAAATGGTATTAAAATGTTTATGGGTTAAGATCCCCTACAATAAATAGATTTTTTTGGAAACGAAGTGTAATATCGTGAATATGTAAAGAAATGAAATTTTACAGAATTTTACGACCATGATAAATCCTCAAGTACCTTTGAAAATCTACAAAAATAAATTTAAGGTCCTTGGAAAAAATATTCTTTATTATTCCCGGAAAAAAATAGTTTATGAAAATCGCAATATACTCTTCTTAAGGTCCTTGGAAAAAAATATTTTTTTGAAAATCCAAGTTCATTGCTTCCAAGATAATTGGAAAAAATAATGTTAGAAAATGTAAAAAATATCCTAAAGGTCCTTGAAAAATATTCTATACAATAACCTCCTTTTTTGGTCCCATGGTAATTTTAAAAAATATCGTTAAAGAATATGATCTCAGAGTTCTTGAAAAAAATATTATTGGGGTAATCCCCAAAATATCCTGAAGATCCATAGAAAAAAAATTAGTAATATTCACAATGACCACGTTAACCGGTCTGAAAGTCCTTAAAAAATGTTTAGGAAATCCATAAATATTTGTCTTAAGGTCCTTGGAAAAATATTTTGAGGAAGTTGACTTTTATTTATCCCAAGGTAACTGGAAAAAATATTGTTAAAAATCCTCGTTTGTTAGTCTCAGAGTCCTTCGAAAAAATATTTTTGGGAAAATACTAAAATATCCTTGGAAAAAATATTAAAAATAACAAAAGCTACTTTTATTTATTTATTTTTTTTTTTTTTTTTTTTTTTTTTTTGGAAGCGAAGTGTAATATCATGAATATTTAAAGAAATTAAATTTTAAAGAAGCTCTACGATTTGATATATCCTTTGGGAAAATATACTTAAAAAAATATTCTCAAGTACCTTTGGAAATCTACAAAAATAAATTTAAAGTCCTTAGAAAAAATATTCTTTATTATTCCCGGAAAAAAATAGTTTATCTCGCAATATTCTTTTCTTAAGGTCCTTGGAAAAAAATATTTTTTGAAAATCCAATTTCATTGCTTCCAAGATAATTGAAAAAAATAATGTTAGAAAATGTAAAAAATATCCTAAAGGTCCTTGAAAAATATTCTTTACAATAACCCCTTTCTTTGGTCCCACGTTAATTAAAAAAAATCGTTAAGAAATATGATCTCAAAATATTTTTGGGGAAATCCTCAGAATATTCAAAATGTTCATAGAAAAAAGATAAGCAATATGCACAATGACCACTTTAACCGGTGTTGAAAAAAATGTTTAGGCAATCCATAAATATTTGTCTTAAGGTCCTTGGAAAAAATATTTTGAGGAAGTTGACTTTTATTTGTCCCAAGGTAACTAGAAAAAATATTGTTAAAAATCCTCATTTGTTGGTCTCAGAGTCCTTCGAAAAATATTTTTGGGGAAATACTTAAAATATCCTGATAAAATATCATTGGAAAAAATATTAAACAAAAGCCATACCATAAATCTTCAGAATGATTTTTTTTAAATTATTCTTAGTAATAAAAACATCTCAGAATCTCGAAAAAATAGGTTTGAAAAATCCACTTACATTGGTGCCAAGGTCCTTAAGAAAAATATTTTTGGGATGTTCTCTTTTATTAGTCCCATGGTAACTCGAAAAAATATTGCTAAAAATCCAAGTTTGTGGGTCTCAATGTCCTTGAAAAATATGGGAATATTCTAAAACTTCGAATTAATTCAAAAATCCATTCCCAGCAATACCACATCTCAGAGTCCCTGAAAAAAATTTTCGGGAAAATCATAAAAATATCCTGAAGGTTCTAGGAACAAAATCAGAAAAAATACACGAATTGTGGCTATAAGTCCCTGGAAGGAATATTCTTAAAAAATTTTTGTTTATCCTTAAAAACATTTTTCCTTAAATTTGTTCCGCTTATCATCCTGATAGTTTAGATCCATTACAACTAAAAACTATTTCTAAAACCCACGTTTATTGGTCTCAGAGTCCTTGAAAAAAATATTTTAAGGAAAATCCCTTAGTACTTGATTAAGGTCCACATTTATCCTGACCTGAAAATCCTTAAAATATGTCTCCTAAAAATACGCATTTGTTGGCTTAAAGGTCTTTAAGAGAATATTCTTAGAAAAATTCACTATTATTGTTTGAAGGTCCTTGCAAAAAAAAATTAAAAAATTTCGATCATTGGCAGAATATCCTTGAAAAGAATTTTCTCAAAGAACACAAAAATCGTTAAGGTTCTGAGAAACTTTTTTTTAAATCTACAATTATTGGCTGGAGGTCCTTTAAAACTACTTGAAATAACTATGACCCAGCAAAAAAGATTAAAAAAAAAAACATCCAATGAATAAAAAAAATATTTTTTAATATTTTAGTCTGAATGTCACTGTTATTTGTCGCCATTGATCTGAAGGCCCATTTAAAAATGCTCTCATAAAAGGAATTTTAAAAATATTCATCGAAAAGCCAGGTTCGAAGGTTTAATGACTCTTGTAAAATATTTTGAAAAAAACCAGATCCATAAATCTTGTAGTCCTTGGCAAAAATTTTTTAAAAAATCCAAGTTCATAAATTTGGATTTCTAGTAGTCCTCGGCAAAATATTTTTTGAAAAATTCGGGTCCATTAAAAATATTTTAGAAAAATCAACTTTTATAGATCTGATATTCCTTGCAATTTTTTCATATTTTACGATTATTAAAATGATTGTCATTAAAATATATTATTAAAAAAGTAACGTTTTTAGATCCTTGGAAGAGAAGATCTTCCAAAATCCAAGTTTGTAAATCTATTGCTCCTTGAAATCATGCCCTTAGGTCTGCTTTCTTTTTAAAATTATTGCTACACTATACATCAGCATTCCCTTGGAACTGTTTTTTTTTTTTGTGGGAAAAATATTCCTCATTGGCCTTCTATAGAAAAAATCTACAGTGCCCTTGAAAGTGCCATTTTTTTCTAAAAAAAAAAAAAACATTTAGCGGCTTGGAAGTATAATTTTTATAGAATTTTTTAAGAATAAATAAAAAAATAAATGTATAAAATATATATTTTTTAAAATTCTGCAGTATTTTGGAACATTCTTTTTCCATTTTGTAGACCCCCATGATCTTAGGAGACATGTTCTTTTACTAGGTTTAATATATTCGTACAGGCCCTCCACAAACATATATCTGTCTTTGATAGGTTATCTATTAAATTATTCACTGATATTACACTACGTTTCTAAATTTACATTCAAAATCGAACCTATTTTTTCCATTGGACACTAAAATGGAAGGGAGTTTGTGGGAATACAGAAGAATAATACCTGAATTCTATTGAAAACTTAAATCGACGGAATTAAAACTACAGCATTAAAAAAATCTGATATAAACTCAAAACGCACCAATGCTATATTCCCCCTCAAAATAAGCTAACATCGCTTTTTAGTAATAAATGCAAAACAAATTTGAATCCATTCAAAAGAAAACCCCAAAAACTAATCGGTCTACATTTAAAATGATTTTCACACTGCTTTTTTGTAAACTGAAAATCTGCCAAACAATTTATCAATGAAATCAATTGATATTATGCTTC